CTTGTCCCAGATATATACACTGAGCCACTCAACCTCTCTTTTGGAAGTGACATGTATATCTCTTGATTAGTAATGGGTAAACTGAAAGGTTGTAAGCCATGTAGAGCTAATTATTATCACCTGTCATCCAGGAGAATCCCAAAGCACTTTATAATCATACAAAAGTATACAACCCAGCATTGAGCAGTTTGACTGAATGTGCCCAGCACTGGATTTAGCCAATAGTAAAATAAATCTTCTTTGGTTGTGTTTCTATACTGCTAGAAAGATTTATTAATATATAGAATTTGTAAAATACCTAAAATGATAGATTGATTAGCTAGATGGAATTAGAGAACCTATCCATTAGATCAGGGGTCTCAAACTCACGGCCTATGGGTCATCTACGGTCAGAGCATTTTCACAATCTGTCCCAGTGGCCTGAGAGTAGCTGTCTCCCAAGCCATGAGTTTGAGACCCCTGAACTAAATGGTATTTTATAGACACATCTATAATACAAGTTAAATAAAATGGACTGAAATACATGTAAGGCACCAATTGACATGTTTTGTTTTCCTGTACAGAGCAGACCTGCCAGCATGTTCAAATATGAAAGGGAATGTACCCAGGCCCAGAGTATCAAGCACAATGATTTTACTTCCTCAACATAACAATAGAGAAACATTCCATCAAGCATCTTTGCTGCGTGCCATGAAGAAGACATCCCCAAAAGGCTTATTGTACAATACTGAGACCAAGGCTTTGGCTAAGAGAAAAACTTCTGGGTCACAGACTCTGTGTACAAAACCTTGCAATCACAACTGGGTGAATTTCCTGTCAGGTCTAGAAATTGATGCAAATGTTGTGAAAAACGGTACCTTACAAGCTAAAATATGCAGCCAACCAGGGTCCATTCAGACAGGACACCAGCACTGGGAAATGAGTGGCTTCACATCAAATACCCTGAGGGATTAAGATTCCAGTCCTGGAGAAAACCTTTGGAAGAGGTGCTCTGAAAATGCAGCAGAAGTATATGGAGTACAAGAAAGTTTAGCCTCACACTGTCCTGAAAGACAGATTCTAGATTTCTGGGACCTGTGAGTGACAGCTAAAGGAGGTGCTGATTTGTTTCTTTTTTAATGTTTTCATTTTTTAATTGTCAGCAAATTTCAGACAAAAAAAGCCAGTTGAATTATCTGAATTCTTCAGAATTAAAGTGATATCTGAACAGAATGGAAAACTAAAGAGGAAGGATTTGTCTTACTCAATTCAGACCTTCCCAGACACTTTAAAAAACAATGCTGATGAAGTCCCAAGGGAATCCCAATCAGTTCTGTACTGAAGGTTGTTAGTCAAAGAGGTATTTTAGGGAAATATAGGATATACACTACAGATCAGGGAGTGGCTATGATGGAGAGTCCTGTGAGGAATTAGAGGGGGATATCGTTCCACTAGGGGGCAAAAGAAAAAATGTAGAAGTTTATTCTAAAATTAAAAAGCTAAAAGTAAGTCAAATGACTTTAAAAAAAATCACATCTTGCTATGGTTCTGGATCCTAGGTGGGACTAGTATTGCTGTCTTTGTGGATGTCCATCTAATTCGCTTTACTTATGCCAACTGAATATTTGTTCCTTCCCCAAAATGATCTGGGATTAATCCCCAGGACACTAGCTCAGGGTCCGAGAATCTCAGGAGATTTGGCTAAATAGTGAGAAGTGCAGAGATGCTTTTTTCAATACTCAATACCTGTCTCCCCCTCATGTTACCCCAGAAACTCTCTGTGCTCTTAGGGTTTGTTTTGACTAGAATAAAGGTGTGTTGTTCAAATGTGTGCCCCTGTGAAGAGCTCAGCGTGTGATACAATGAAGTGATATTTGTTTCTAGTATTATTCCTTGAATGGACATGCAGTGTTCCCCACAAAATAGAAATTATTAGACAGTCTTATTAGTCTGAACAGGAAGTTTACTGGGAACTCCAGGACTAGATTTCCATATCATTCCTAATTGTTTCAGCTGATGATAGGCACCTTAGATAACCATCAAGTAGAAGGACAGATCTGAGCTGTGACCAAAGTGGTTCGGGATAGCTCCAGAGCAGATTGCAAAGGTGCCGTTTGCACTCTCCTGATCATTGAGCAGCTCAACACCAGGCCAGTGCATCCCATGCAGACTAGATCAGCTTACTTTAATCTGCACTAACTCCAGAGCCTATTCTAGCAGCTGGTGCTCTGAGGCAGGGGGCAACTACCACCTGTGCAGCAGCCAAACACTATCACAAAAGATTCCTGTCTGCAAAGGGAACCTTCAAACAGCCAAGGAAAATTCCCACACAGCTGACTAAGCTGGTTTGAGGGCAGTTTTTCAGGAAGGTTCAGTGGGAGCACAGAAAGTTTGTGATAAATCCTAGAAATGTGTATCGACTGCCATTGTGAAAAATATCCACACTTGCATGACATGTCGGTCAAGGACTGCAAATAGGGAGGGCAGAGGGGGCAATTGCCTCAGGGCCTGGGGCTCCTAGCTGCTGCTACTGTGGCTGTGGCAGTGGCAGTGTCCGGAGCCCAGGCCCTTTCAATCGCTGCTGGAGCTGCGCGGCACGCTCTGCACAGCTCTAAAGGCTTGAGCAGGGGAACCAGCATGGTAGACTCCAGGTTGCACTTGAGGGGCAAGCTGCTCCCAGCCCTGCCCTTTTCGGGAGCTCAGGGCCCCATCATCACCTTGCCCAGGGGTCTGGCGTGGTCATTCTTTGCCCTGTGGTGTTTTAAAAGCCACAGTAACAAGCAGCATTTAAAGTATATTGAGCTGACTCCGTCCCCTTGTGTACTTTCTCTTATTACTACTTAAATCCTACTGCTTCGACTTAATAAAACCATTTTTATTTTCTATCAAACCCAGTGTAAGCGTGGGGGGGGGGGGCAACCAGTGTGCACATTCCTCCTTTCATTGCTTAAAGGGGGCTTATCTAATTCTTTGAGGTTTGATCCCATCTGAGAGTGCTCTCTCAGGAGGCTAGGCCCTAAACTGCACTCTCCTTGGACCTGAAATGGTTCAGTGTCTGTACTGCTTCTCAGTGGAGGCAGGGATTTCAGCTGGGGGCCTTGGCTGGGGGAGACCAGCAGAGCTGGCCCAGCAAGACCGGGCGCTGAGGAGCCCCAGAGAGCAGGAAGGTGAGTGGCAATGGCCGGGTCAGCACCCCGGGAGGCACCCCTGGGAGGTCATCTGTGACTGCACCCTGTCACATAGTCGACTAGTCAATTAACCACATTTTAACATCCTTAGTTCCTGGTGGAGGCCATGTGCAAAGGATCGCACCCAGGGTCCGCATGTTGAGCCCCACATAAACTGAAACCACACCATGGGGCACAAACAAATGGGCCACGTGTTGAGTAGCCCTGTACTAAATACACAATGCTGTGCTTATAAAACCTGATCACACAGGTGGACTCTTCTGAGTTTTGGTGCTTTGTGTCACCACCTTGCAGAGGTTTTTTAACAGCTCTGTTCTTGGGCTGTCTTGAGGGGTGGGGAAGGTAGTTCTTTCAGGTCTTTCCTTATTTTTTCCTTTCTTTTTCCTCCTCCTCTGGTTTCCTTCTAGGACCACAGTTTATATAGGGAAACTTGAGTCCTGCTTAACTATATTTTAACCAATCATTTTACTAATATTTCAAGTAATTATTTGACCAATCCTAACATACTGTGAAATAATTCTTTACACAATCATACCCCACTTTAGTTTATTTAAATCTTGTAAAATTAATTATGCACCAAACAGAAACAAAGAACCAGACAGAACCCATAGAGATAAACAATATAGATTTCACACCCACAATTGTTGAGACATACAGAATGCCATTGAAGTTTTTCTTTAAATATCTTAAAATATTCCTTGCATATCTGGTGAGGGTGGGTGCTATTGGGGGAGCCTTCTTAACAGCCTGATATTGCATTGGTTTGATATAATTTAGAAAGAATGTGAGGATGTGACTTCCTGCTTCTTGGCTTATGGCTGCTGCTCTCCTATGGCTGCAAAAAAAGGCCTCAGAACCTAGAAGGCAAGGTGTCTGGGGACTTCTGCCTCCTGTGATAGAAACAGAAGCCATCCTCCTTAGAATACAAATAATGAACCAAAGCAGGCAGTAAAAGCTACATCCAACAAAAAAATAAGAAAAATGTAATATTTGTAAGTCACCTCCTCTGCTGATCCCATTTGGTTTCTGTGGCTTTTACTGAGCCAAGACCTGCTTTGCTGATGCACCTCAAACCTTACTGCACTGACCAAAAGGGATGTGAATTTGGTAGGGCCCTAAACATTTCCTCCACACAGCACTATAAAAGTTGCCTTCCTAGCAACATAGCTTATACATAGAATTTTTCTGAGAGGTAGTTGGCAGATAGCCATTGGACACAGCCCCTTAAAGCCCTAGAACTTCATAGATAAAAGCTGTGTTTGGAGTGAAGAGCAGTGGCCTCTCATATCCACTATAGCATCAGAAGCTATACTGAAAAATGGGATCTGAAGTGCAGGAGGAAAAGGCAGCTCAATGTGAGTCAGAAAACAGGAATTAGGCCAGGATCTATACTGGAAAAGCTGATATAGTATAGCTATATGTTCAAACCCTCCTACTGTGAACACAGCTTCTACCCGCAAAAAAGTGGTTTCACTTGTATAGCTTGTATCTGTTCTTCAAGCAAAATAAGGTTCCTCAGCAAAAGCACTTGTAGGCCAGCATGGCTATCTAAACTGCAAGTATAGAAAAGTTGCAAAGGAATCACACCCATAGCTGACAACGCTACTGGCAAAAGTTTATAGCAAAGCCTCACTTCAGTAACGCTCTCCCTGCCCCTTTTTAGAAGCAACTGAAGAAATAAATGCAAATCTGTCTCAGAACTCCAGCTATGTGCCAAATTTGTCATGCTAACCAGTGAAACAACAGGGTGCGGAAACAATCATTTTTTGGCCATTCATGTGACCTAGGATCATGATTGTGTGGTGGGAAGTCCCAGTCAAAATGAAAGTGAAATCTGCTGAGTGACTAGCAAAATATAACCAAGGGACAAAGAGCAGCAGCAGAAGTAAATAACTTTAGAAGGGAGAGCACGGGCACAAGATTTTTCCCGTAACATTATCCTAGAGCTTCTTACTTAAATCAAAAAGACAGGTCTCTTTCCCCCACCCCTTTTCTCCTTCAGTGCATCAGCTGAAGGAGACTTCCAGTGCTGACTCTCCTTGGTGTTTTGAGTTCCGCACACAGCACCATGGTGCTCCTCACGTAAGTACCCTGCTGGTGGGCTACGGGCAATGATGTTTTTTTCTGTGAGATTATACTGTGCATGCAAGCCTGGGGAGTCAAATTCCCTCCTGAGTCTCTTAAAGGGACAGTCAACTAAAAATCTCATTTCTGTCTTAATAGTTTATCTATTGCTGTAATACAAAGTACACCTTAGATCAGTCTAATAGAAAGAGATCCAGGAGAACTGTATTTTTTTCAGTTTGGTGACTTTGTGTGTTTGAGAGCACTGTGGCTATAGTTAGTTTCAGCATAGTTTCCCCTGTTGTTTACTCTGTGAATTTGGCAGTGTTCTCTGTCGCTAGCTTTCATTATTGTTTGCATAGGATTTTAACACAGCAAGGTTGGGGGGAGGAGAGAGAGAAAAAAGCAAACATTTTAAATGAGAAAAAGTGTGACCGAAAAGAATTACTGAAATAGACAATTGGGCACAAGAGTAGGTGAAATCTGAAACAGTTTTCCACTCTATTTACTTGAGGGGGTCAGTTGAATTGATTGAAAAAATAAAAATCAGGTTATGTGTGTTTCTGTATTCTATCTACCTGACTTCTGTGTTTGCACACAGTCAGATGTGCCAGGCACTGTTTACATCTCCTGGCCTGATTTTTCTCTTGAGCAACACCAGTGATTTTAGTGGAGTAATATAACCTTAAAAAGACAGAGTAACTGCAAGCAGAATCAGCTCTCATTTTTTAGTTTTCATGTTACAGCTGATCATTAAGATCCAGATCCACAAAGAAGGTTGATTCTGAGGTTTGAGCATCTAAGTCCTACTGTTGGCTTCACTGTGACACAGAAAACCCCACTCAATCCTTTAGGCTTCTAATCTCACACCACATCTATAATTTCAGAGTGATAGTTCTCTCACCTTTATGGTTCTGCTTCTGAACTCAAGAGCTGCTTGCTGCCTCTCTGAATGCTGGGCCTAGGTTCAGAACTTCCCTTATTGCCAGAACGGGAGAAAGGCTTTCAACAGGGGATCTCCCACTGTGGAGAAGTCATTGTGCTGGAGCCAGAGAGAGACTGACTCTAGTCCAGCGCTTCAAGAGCCCACCCCAGAGGCAAGGGACCCCAGCTCCAATAATTTATTCATTATTTCTCCACAATGAAGCAGCTTCCACAGGAGAGTTTGATGGAGCCCCGACTCCATTGTTCTGTGTTTACAGCCCTCTTCTAAGAGCTGGGGATCAAATCCTTTTTGGCTGTTGACAGAGGAGGGAATTGACCCTGGGATTTCTGCCTCCTAAGCAATTCATTTGGCTGTTTTGCATGGACCTATTGGAGTCTGGGAAGTGGGCTTGCTGCAAGTAGTGGCTTAGGGTGTCCAGGCAGCAGGTTCTTGGCCATGGGTGGCTGGCAGCATTAGGCCTGGATTTAGATGCCTGTCTCAGAGAGCGGGGTTCTTAGCACACCCTTCTCATTAACATCTCACATTGGTGAGCTTTGGTGGCTCCCTCTTTAGCACATTGCCTTTTTGGGGGGCTAATGTTAGGGCACCCATCTCTCCCCATTCAGTGCATCAGGAGCTGAGGCCCCAATTCAGGCTTTATGGGTTGCAGTATTGTTCCTGAGATTTTCTAGGCAGGTAAAAGTTAGGGGCTGTGACATTCAGTGTTACAATGCTTGAGTCCTACCCTTGGATTTAAAGGCTGAGGTTTTCTCCTCTGGTAAAAATGGAACCTCTTTTAATTACCAAGCCGATGAATCAATTTATATGAAATTAGCTCGTAGTATGTGGAGTTACGCTGCATCATGTTCTGGAAAATCTTGTGTGATAGCAAAAGAAGTGGAGAAACTAGATTCTGCCTTGTTGTGAAAGGAGAGGCTGATACAGTTTGACATCAATGGGTTTGGGATCTGGCCCTGTGTGATTGCTATTCCCAATGAAATCAATGGGACAATGTGTGTGAGAAGGAAATACTCACCTCAGCCCCTTTATTTTTATGGTTAGCATTCAGAGACCATGCAGCTGCTGATGCGCAGATCATAGGTAGCTCCCTTCCAGCTGCAGACAAAATCTTCCCCAGATTATATGTGGGATCTCCCTAGGGCATCAGAGATGGAACTGAGCCAGAAAGAACTCAGCTTGCGTTTCAGATCCCAGGATGAGTTCACAGATCTGGCAGCAAGAAAAGAGCAGCTTTCTACTTGTAAACGGTGCACATTTCATTTGAAAATCATTAAGGAGGAAAATCAGATTGCATAATTACAGAGCCCCAAAATGGCCATATGAGAGAGAACTGCACTTTAATGGGATGCTACTATCTAAGTCTAGCTGGAGTACTGATAAAGAGCTTCTAAATCTCAGCTAAGTACTGTAGAAAAATTCTCATCTCCAGTTACAAATTCCCAAGTATCAGCAGTTGACCTTAACACCTATCCATTCCCTTTCCCTGCAGCCATTAAGTATATGACATTTATTTAAACCCACGTTCTTATATGACTGCATACCAGTGCACCCATTGTTACAGATTATCTTCACACTGAAGAAGACACACCTATGCAAGCAGTAAACATACTAGTTGTATTCTAGGTCAGTGGTTCTCAACTAAGGGTACAGGTATCCCTAGGGGTAGGCAGAGGGATACATCGGGGGTACATCTTCCAGGGGGAACATCAACACAACTAGATATGTGCCTAGTTTTACTTGCCAAAGCTATATAAGAAGCACTAGCAACGTCAGTACAAGCTAAAATTTCCTACTAGCCACAATTACTTGTTTATACTGCTTTATGTACTAATCACTGAAACGTACATGCAATATTTATATTCCAATTGAGTTACTTTATAATTATGTGGTAAACCTGAGAAAGTAACCAATTTGTCAGTAATAGTGTGGCTGTGGCAAGTTTGTATTTTTATTTCCCATTTGGTAAGCAAGTAGTTTTTAAGGGAGGTAAAACTGGAGGGTATGCAAGACAAATCTGACTCCTGAAAGGGTTACCTTAGTCTGGAGAGGCTGGGAGACATGGCTCTAGTTATGTGGCCCCCATACAGATTTGTAATTTGAGGATGGGGTTGTAACAAAAGTTATCACCAGTTAGTCCAGGATTCACATCTGTTTGGACCCAAAATGGTTTGGAAAAGTCTAGCAGGGATCAGTAGGTAGGAAATAACACGACAGCTGCCCAGAATGGAATAGGGCCAGGGCCAAAGAGGAAAACAGATGTCAAGGGGTCAAGTTTGAACTCCTGAATGTTTTCAATTTCAAATGGTGGGGGAGGGGACAGTTGTTCTAGTTCATATCTTCCAGAATGACCTGTGCACTATAGAAGCATTTTAGGCTGTGCTCTAGAGATGTTCAAGACAGTGGCAATTACTCTGGAATGCCAAAGGAAACCGGAAACCTTTCCCCTTCCTTCTCCCCCTCTGCTTGTTTGTTTTCATTGTACTTGAGTTCCTCAGAGTACTTATTTTGGGTCAGATGACTTAGTCATTCTGCTATTTCTGCCAAGTCCTGAAGCGGAGAGCAGGCCTTCCCTCTGGGACTGGCAGGGCTGCTGTTCCTCATGGCCTGGATCTTCTTCAAGTTTTTCCCCTCTCATATTTTTACCTTTTCTCTGACGTCTCTTCTGCTCTGATTTTTGTTTCTCCTTCCCCTGTTCCTTTGGTTACCCACCCTCTCTCTGGCTGTCCTTGTCTAAGCCAGAACCAGTGCATAGTTTCAGGTGGGAAAGGGCTGGGCAACCAGTCTTGTTTTTAAGAGCTGCCTGATTTCCTCAGATCCTACTCTCTGAAGTGGGACACCCTCCATGCAAACCAGAGGAATGAAGGAACAAGCAGGTGCAGTAGAAAACAACAAGACCACCAGGCTCTCCCCTTACTGGTGCAAGCAGCAGGGCTGTGGCCTTGGTGATATGTAGGAATGGTCTTTTACCAGGGACAGAGTCTTTTGACGAATTACCACATGGGATCAGGAGAGGAAGAGCTCATCCCTGATAACCGGTCCCAGCAGCAACCCCCTAAAACAGCTGCCAGTGCCATGTATTGACTTAGGTCACTGAAGTGTCTTTGTTGATGTGTCTGTTCCTTTTAAATATCTACTGCCTGCAGGGACAGGCAGCCATTTGGAGAGGCGGAGTCATGACAGACTGTGGGAATGGGTGGACGGGTGGGGACACGCTCACATGCAAACCCAGTTCCTTCCTGTGTTTGTTTTTCCCCTGGACATAAGCCTAAATGCCTTTGGCTTGGAAGAACATGTGCACTCTTGGCATGAGAAAGAGAGGTGTCAGTCAGAGGCAGGTTTAAATCCCAGTGGGGTCATCTCAGCCTTTTCTCTTCCCAGGAGAGGTACTTTGGGGAGATTTCTGTGCTGCTCGGACTCACTTTGGTTCACCTTTGCTGTCACAATGGGACGTCAAAGCAGTTGTAAGGCTCACCCCCCAGAATGCCCCTGTTCAGGGGGGGCCTGCCAGGCACTGGGCTGGCTGTACACATACCAGTCCATGGGCAGCTGGAGATGGAAATGGTGACTTCACCTAGCCTATGCCTATGCCCAGAGCTGGGCCCTGTGTCAGCACCAATGGGGCTGAATCAGGGCCACTGAATGCCATGGAATTTAGGGGCTGGAGTGCCTCTGTGCTGTGGCATAGCAAAGACCCCGTGGGCTCCAAGTGGCAGGGTAGGGCTTTACCCCACTGCCTTGGCCTTCTCTCCATAGTACTGGAGTGCAGGGTGCTGGCTGATGCCCCACCAGCTGCATTTCAGTGCTGCTACCAGAAGGGACTAGCGTGGATTAATGTGGGTCCAGTCTGGGCCAGGGCAGGGCTTTGGGCCATCACATCATGGCTGGGGCCTGGTGGAATCCCAGTCTTATTTTGTGTTCATTTTGACCGTTAACAGCGATTTTTACTTTTAATTTTTTTCTATTTTAATTGATTTTTATTTTTACACTTGTTGGAAACTGGGGAGTGGGGTCCCGGCTGGGGCTAGGCCAGCCCTGACAGCAGGATTCCAGGGGGCTCCTTTGGTGGGGCACAAGGCGCAGGGCAGGCTGTAGGGCGGGGACGAGCTAGTGTGGTCTCCTACTCATTCCCAGAACACCACAATGTTTGCTCCTGCTGGGAAAACTGTGGCCTGGCCCCTGCAGGGTATGTGAGGCACACTGGGGATGGGGGCCTGCTGGGAAAACTGTGGCCTGGCCCCTGCAGGGTATGTGAGGCACTGGCGATGGGGGTGCATCTGCCCCCGACAAAAGCAGGTGTGGGTTTATCTCCTTACAGGAGGCGGGGGCGGGGAGGACATTAGCAAAGCATATGTGTCCAGTTTAAAACCAGAGGAATGGCCTGCCTATGACAAGCCTCCAACCCCTGGAGGCCATCCTGCTGCGGAGCAGTGTCAGCTTGGGGAGAGCTCCTGGCTGGCATGCCAGGAACCAAGGCAGCGACAGCAGAGCTGTAGAGGGCTCTCTGAATGGCCCCCAGGCCAGGGACACCACAGCCCTGCTGGGGTCCTGGCAGGGCTGAGCTGAGCCAGACAAGTCTCCAGCCACAAAAAAGGTCACCCCACTCCTGATTGGCTCTGTCCTGGGCATCAGCACAGAGGTGGCCTCCCCCCAATGCCAGGGGGCTTGTCCTCCTTCTTGTAGTCCTGGCCAAGAGCTGGTGCCACTGGATTACTGCAGGCGCAAGGAGGGGGGGGGCGGAGCACCTCCCAGCTGATACCAATTTCTGGACTTTGCTTTCAGTGTACCAGGTGAAATCAATGTTACTGTCATCTAGCCTTTTAGTCACAGCCAAGCCTAAGTATTATTTCATAGCTAAACACACACTCTCTTCTGGTCCCATGCTGGCCCTCCCCAGGGCACTAGCCCTGTGCTCTTCCCAGGCCCCACCCCACGACCAGGCCCAGCACCCTGAGTCAGCCAACTAGTTTGGGGTTTTATTTGTTGCTGTGACATCCTCCCCCTGGTCTCATCCCCCTTTGGATGGGGCAGGCTGCCACCAGAAACCAGGCTCTTTTGAGGAAGGCAGGGCATCTCGGGTGGAAATCAATGAGGATTATTCATCTTGTCACTTCTGTACCTGCCCTGTAGTTCTCCCCATGGCTCCAGCTCTGCCATTAAGCCACCTCTGAGCTGTCTGTGTGGTTGTGTTTCTTACAGTGCACTGGACCTCGCTGGCAAGCGCAGGAGCACATTCAGACCTCGCCAGGCCATCACCAAGAAAAACCTTCGGAAGTTGAAGTGAGGTATTGATGGTGAGGGGTGATGCTGGGCTTGTGGGGGTGGGAGACACCCTACGTGGTAAGGGCCAAGCCTTTGTCAAACCACAGGAAGAATCCTGTTGGTTAGCACAGAGACTGGCTCGCTGCCAGGGAGTCACGGGTTCAGATCCCTATCCGGGGCTCTTGGCACAGAGGCTGGAAGCACTGAAGTTTCCAGGACCCCCCTGTGCTGCTGCACGCCCAGGGCCCTGAGTACAGCACAGGGGTCCGACCCACAGAGCATGGTGTGAGCTTGTGGCTTAGCAGCTTTACCTATATCCGCTCCCCACTCAATGCTGCCTGGCACGTGTCGTGGGTTGCACAGTGGCGACAGCCAGTGGGGTGAGGTTGGCGGGATCCAAATACAGTTCAGTGGAGTCCTTGGCAGAACCGTGGTAACGCCGAAGCAAACGCCTGGGGGGGCTGTTAAATGGAGTGGAAGGGAAGGCTGCCCCACCACTGGGAATACAGGACACACACGGGACTAGGCTTGAGGCAGCCAGTTCCCTCTCTGAAGTGTTCAAAGCCAAGCCTGCGTGGGCGGCCCTCTCTCACTCTCTGACGCTGCTTGATGTCTATATTCAGACCCAACCAGCAAATCACTCTTGAGCATCTGAGGCAGCTGTTTTTGCTGATCCCATTCTCTGTGCAGTCCTGCTGGGACTCTCCTTTTACCTCTGATTTTGTTTTTTAGCCTAACCCGCAAGCCCTAGAATCAGGTGAAAAGAAGCCAAGGAGCAGAGAGAGAAGTGGCCAGGCAAGGCTGCCAAGAAGTCAGGCTGAACTGAGAGAGAACGAGGAAATCACCACTGGAGGTCTGTTCCCACAGCAACTGTCTCCTGGGGGGCTAGGGCTAGATTGTTTGGGTCCCTCCATTGGGATTTACAAGAGGGACTTAAATAGCTAATTGCCACTTTGGGTGACTACTCCAACAATAGAAATCCTGCTCATTGTGTTTGTTTTCCCATGATTCATGCTTCTTTTCACCAGGACCAAAAGCGAAAATGCTTTCCCAGGAAGGTTCTAATCTAGGCATTTCCAATAAATGACATCAAGGTTCTTACCCTATCAAACTTGGCAACTGGGCCCTAACAAACACCTGACTCACAATCCAGCTGAGAAAAAATTTTCTGGAAGGTCCAGTGTTTTCTGTAAGCTGTGCCCTTGTGCAATACTCAGGAGAGAGTCCAGTGCTGCCCAGCTGATTAGCGCAGTGCCCATAGCTAGTTTTTTTGTAGTTCTATTGGTGGTGCACATTCACACATGCCTTGGTGCACATAAAAATGTATTCTGCATATGGGTGGGAAAATTCCACACATGGATGGAAAAGATGAGAGGGAACACTGGGAAGGCCCCACCCTGAGGAGCCCACTTGTGTACATTACTGCTCAAAAAATGACAGATCTTTACACCGAAGCTAGACACATGGATGGGCAAGTGAGGGTGGAACTGGCAGCAAACATCTTGGCAATGCTCATCCCTTTCTTCTCTCCCAAACAGTGCACAGCACCACTTGGCTTCCATGTTACTTCAGTTAGGCTATGTCTAGACTGCCCCCTCTTGCTCAAGAGAATAAGCAAATGAGGCAAAACAGTGAATATCACTGCACCTCATTTGCATACTTAATGAGCAAGGGGCTTTTGCCCAAAAAGGAGCCATCTACACGACTCCTTTTTGCACAAAAGCCCCTTGCACAAAATGGCGGCTCATTAAGTATGCAAATATTCACCACTTTGCCTCATTTGCATAGTCTCCTGCGCAAGAGGGAGCAGTCTAAACAACTTTAGGCTGCGTCTAGACTGGCAAGTTTTTCCGCAAAAGCAGTTGCTTTTGCACAAAAACTTGCCAGCTGTCTACACTGGCCGCTTGATTTTGCGCAAAAGCACTGACGTTCTACTGTCCAAAATCAGTGCTTCTTGCGCAAATGCTTTGATGTTCCCGTTTGGGCAAAAGCCCTTTTCCAGAAATGTTTTTGCGCAAGAGGGCCAGTGTAGACAGCTAAAAACTGTTTTGCGCAAAAAAGCCCCGATGGCGAAAATGTCGATCGGGGCTTTCTTGCGCAAAACTGCATCTAGATTGGCACGGACGCTTTTCCACAAAAAGTGCTTTTGCAGAAAAGCATCCGTGCCGATCTAGACGCTCTTTTCCGCAAATGCTTTTAACGGAAAAACTTTTCCGTTAAAAGCATTTGCGGAAAATCATGCCAGTCTAGACGTAGCCTTAGTGTGTGTTTTCAGATTAAAGCCAGAATAATGTGTCATGGTCATAAGTACCACCCTGTATCAGCTGAAGCATGTAGGTGTGTTTGCCCAGTGAGGCACTTTCACGTTCCCTCTTGGTGAAATTGATTACCTGGCTGCTAAGGCATGAGCTAAGCAGTTATAGACAGGCCATGTTCTTCCTTCTGTGCTCTGCCCCTTCCTTTGCCTGAGTGTCCCACATGCAAAAAGGCAGAACTTGGCCCATTTGCCTTTACTTATCTTGGCAGTGGCTGGAGGAAGCTTGTTCATTATCCCGAGAGCTTCTCTGCTAATGGTAGGTGGTTCTGCTAATTCCCTATGGTCTCCCCTCCCCCCAAATACTGAAGGGGAAGATGAGACACAATTAAATGGGTGTCAGGTTCTAGTGTGGCCTCTCCTCCCTGCCCCATAAGGTCCCATATCACTGCCTCTCAGTTCTTTGCACTGGGAAAACTGCAAACTCCCTAAAGAAGCTGAACTGTGCTGTCTCCTCATTACCACCTGCCTTTGTCCCTCCAATGCCAGCCCCCGCAGGGCTAGACAGACAAGTGCCAGGGTCCTCACTTCACAGATCTGTGTGTCTGCCCCTCCTGCTACAGCCCTGTTTGGCCACCAGTGAGCATTGCCCAGCCAGCAGAGCTATGGGAGGGAGCCAGAGCCGCTGATCCCTCTCATGCTTGGTCAACCAAACTCCAGCTGCAGAGTTGTCACTCCTGGCACTGACATGAGAGGAAGGCAGAGCACAGGTGCCATGCGCGGGGATGGCTGGTAGAATGACCATCTCCTGGCATGTCAGTGGCACAAAGTGGTTGTGGGATTGCTGAGGAACCAAAACCCCTCAAGGGCATTTCTAGTCACATTTCAAACCAGAGCCCCACTTCACAGGCAGCTGCAATGCTAACCTTTGTCCCTGCCCAGTGCTGGGGTCAGGAAACCTTGTTTGCTTCTAGTTTAATGTTTAAATGGTCCCCTTGTTAATTTACAGAATTTGTTCATTTCTTTCCTGGCTCATTCCCAGAGGAAGCAAAGTCCCCATTTTCCACATGTAGGAAACTAACAGTGCATGTATCAGCCCCTCATGTGGGCAGGCAGCAGCTCTTTGAACCTGGGCCCTTCAGCCCCATGCTACAGACCTTACCAACAGGAGCAATGGTATGGTAAGATTGCCTTCAGTGGCAGGTGGGCCACTGGCAACAATCCCCAAATGGGACACTCGCTGGGCATGGCCCTGAATCACTACAGACTTCTTTACTGGGTGTCAGTCTGGCAGGTCTTGCCACTGCTCACAGTCTAACTGGTCGCCAGATTTGAGGTCGCAAAGGAATTGCCCCCTGGGTTAAGTTCCTAGTGACTCTGGGGAGATTTCAGGCACTGGTCACTTGCAGGTTCAAACTAGTGTAAATGGTGGATGCTCTGTAACTTGGTCTTTAAACCATGATTTGAGGACTACAGTAACTCAGATGGAGGTTGGGGTCTATAACAGGACAGGGTGGGTGAGATTCTGCAATGTGCAGGTCAGACAAGCTGATCGCGATGGTCCTTACTGGCCTTGAGCTCTATGAGCAATAGTAACCTGTTATCCTCTAGTGGACCAGCCATGAGAAGGGGCTGCACCACTCCTGCTGTGCGGGTGTTACCTGGGCCTGGGGGAAAGCAGCGGGATCACTGGTGTGAACATTGAAACTGAGGGCTCTTCCCATTCATATCTTACAGCAGGTCTCGCCAAGGAGGGCGCTACCGTGGGCTTGAGGAGCTACTATGGAAACGAGAATGAGAACTAGGGCAGGCCTGCTGTCCTGGAGTATCCTCTTCCTGGCTGCAGGGTCCATTGTCTTGATGCTGTATGCCCTGATGTGGGAAGCAGGGAACATTATCAACCTTCCCAAAAAAATAATCGGCTTCTACAACTTCTGCCTGTGGAACCAGACAGCTGGAGAGCTCCAGTGCCTGCAATTCAAGGACCTGAAGGAACTGGGGATTGGCCAGGTTGAGCTAGTGCTGGCAAGGCTCTGTGTATACATGGCCCAGGTCCTCTGTCTCTTCTCCCCCTTTTTTACCCTCCAGACCCAATGTGCCAACAAGAGAGAGAGGGAGGCGTGGGAGGTGACCCTTGTGGTGCTAGGCCTCTCGGCTACATTTCTGGCGGGCGGCCTCAGCTTGTTTCTGTTGCAGACCTGGAGTTGGATCCAACTCTCTGAACTCAGTGGGGGTTTCATGGCTCTTGCAGGGGCTCAGGCCCTGCAGGTGCTCCAGTTTTTTGCTGCTGCTGCATGCCTCCAGTGGCTCCAGGGGGATCCTGCAAAGGACAGCCCATCCCCTGAGAAGCAGCTCCCACCCTTGAAGGTCTGAAGGCAGAGAAGGAGGGAGACACAGCGCTAGCTTGTGGCACTGAAATTCAGTGCCGTGTAGGATCTTACCAATCCAGTTGTTTTAATCATCTGATAGCCTATATAGCCTGCTCTTGTGTATTGATCTCCGGCTAGTCACTGCAAGAAAGATGGGCTGTCATGGTACAGGAAAGGCAAGCTGCAGAGGGTTCTAAGGCCTGGCTAACAGATGTAAGGCAAATCAGGATTAGCTACTAGAGCCAACCCAGCAGAGAAGGGTGACTGCATCTTTGTGGGGGTGCTGGCACATCTGAGCTGAGGTCCATGTTCAAAGCTAACAATTTGGGCATGAGCAGCTCAACTACAGTATCAGTGCCTGGCACAAAGGAATACCAGGAAAGATTCCCAGATCTTTTCTAGCTCTACTAGGCAATTTCAGCTGCTGTGTGCATAATCTGTCCCGTTGTAAAGGAAGTGTTACTAGGTTTGAACTCAAAGAAGAGGCCAAACTATGATGGTTGGAACCCTTTCCCAGCCCAGAAGTGTGCATTCAAGCTTGTCTGCAAAATATTTCAAATGAGCCTAAAATTAGAAGTATTTAACATGGCAGAAAATGCAATTCAAAAGGTTTGGAACCAGGTGCTGAGCCTTCCCCATTGTGCGTATTTAGTCTCTGCAAGTGTGGAATGGCAGTGTCACCACCCTATTGTTCCTGGCTAAAGAGATGCTGGTGACAAAGTTGTCCCCGGGAGAGAAACCATCAATTGGCCTCTCCCCACTACGTGGTAGGCTCAGGACAGGGACTGAGCAGGGCAGAGCTGGAGCACAGAGGTGGAACGTTGGAGGACAACATGCTTGGCTGCTGCCATACTGACTAATGTGTGTGACTCAAAGCATCGTGTATACACACTACTGCAATAATCTTTATACACAATGTGCCTCATGAGCGATCATTTGAAAATGAGTAACTCACTGCCATTCCTGCCCAGCGGAGGCACACAGTGAGTAGTCAGAGTTGTGGGCAGATGCAGAAATTATAACTAAAGTGCATTTAAACCAGGCACAGCATGGGGAGCTAGTGACCCCATCTGCCCTAAACAATGGAACCTGTTTGTTTCTCTGGCCCGCCTGCTATCATGCAAGGCCCATTGCCATATCAGGTAAATAAAGCCATCATGCCAACAAGCAGGGGAGGAGACAGCATAGGTGGAGACGGAGCACATGGATGCTTGGTTAAGAGACATAATTTAATAACCTTTTGAAGTTTACATAACTGATAAAAGGTGCCTCACTGGCTGGCCTGCAGATCAAGGGTTACAAAGCAACTCCTTTGCCTCCTTCCCCCCTCCCTCCTGTGTGCCCTGCCCAGGGAGCTCAGTCCCCAATCTTGCTGCAGAGACTGACAATCAGGAGACCTCTTGGCACCATCGGGTTGGGGCATGGGGAGGAGAGGACAGGTGGCCCACAAGGAACGGGTGGGGAGCCTTAGGGTGGGTGAGAGGCTGTTCCCCCAGATTCAGACATCCTGAGCAAGGCTCTATTTGAACCAGACACAGGCTATTCAGCAGGGGCAGGGTGAGCTCCTCTCAGACTTTCTCTCAGGCCCTGCCCACACCTCTGCTCTGGGCTCACTTTGAATTGGGAGGGCGTTTGGGGCACCTGGACAGCCCCCATGGCTGTATTCTCACCCCCTGGAGCCAGCGCCTGGGTCTGCCCCGCACCCTGCCCACCACCACAGTTCCCTTTGCCATTATTTTTGCACTGGTTTAAAAATCCATAAGACTTCAGCTAAAAAAGATCTCCCTGACGTATTTCAAAGCATCATCCTCTTCGTCCTCCGTGTCCGTCCTGCTAGCACAGCCCAAATCGTCTGGCTGAGCATCAGGTCGGGGGGCGCTGGCCCCGCTGTTGCTTGCTGGGCTCTTCTGAGGCTCGGTTGGCATTTGCTGGCCTTCCTGCTTCCCTTCGGTTTCCGATGGAACACTCCCCTCGGTTTCCTTGTATTTACGATTCTGGCACAGAAACAAACCAGACGTGTCCAGAAAGCGTTTTGTCCCAAGCAAGAGGGAGAAACACCCGTCCCCCCTGGCACCAGGCTCCAATCTGTTTAAATGCAATGGGAGGCTTAACAGCATCTGTATCCCACCCCGCTTCACAGCACACACATGCTGGCTTAGGCCGGGCAGGGAAGACCCCCGCTCTTTGCCACTGAAGCTGCAGGGGAGTTCTGGACAGTCACCTCCACTACAGTTTGGGGAGAGTACTACAGTTAACATCTGTGCACCTTCAAAGAGCATCACAGGATCATTAATGCTCATGGGGAAGGGGAGACTAAAGGGTGCCCCAAAAGTGAACGGGGGAGCTTTAACAGTTAGGAACAACTAAGGACCTCAGTCCTGCCATCAGAGCTGGATGGACCCATGTGAAGTTCCACCAAGGGCTGGCAGAGCTGGATGGACCCATGTGAAGTTCCACCAAGGGCCGGTGGTGTCCCGGTGGTGTCTCCGAGCTCCCACAGGGCTGGGAAGGAAAGCCCACTGCTTTACCCTCCACACCCACATGTGCACCCACCCTCCCCAGCACAAGAAGCAGGACTGACTGGCTGGAGACTCCCTCAGCCCCAGCAAGGGTCACTGTGATGCAGATGTGGGAAGAGTCAAACATGCTTAGGGGGGCAAGGAGCATAACTGTATTCCAGACAAAAACTTCTCCCCTCTAAATAAATAATTGCTGGGAATCGTGTTACTAAACCCTGTTAACCACGTGTCCTCTTTCTGCACCACCTTCCTGATGGTCAGAAGGGCTTGTGTGTGTGAAAACTTCTCTCCATGCATTTATTCATGGGCATTCCTCCTCACCACAATCTGCACCTCTCAAATGGTAACCTTCCCAATGCCCTGGCAAAGCTGAGCTGCAGCAGTCTCCGCACTTACTGAGGGGTAAACAAGCAATGTGAGTGGTCATGCAGGAGGTGCGAGACAGAGCATGAAACAGCATGCAGACTTCCCAAGTCTGTGCTTCAACCAAGTCACCCATTCCCTCCTCCTGCCTGACCCACTTGCTGTTGTGGTTTCCACAAGGCTTCTGGGGGACATGTTATAATGTTACACGTGCTGGACCCTGGCATCACTGAAATGGAGGCAGCTGGCTACAAAGGAGAATGCTTCTATTTAGCCTCCCTGCAATGGAATGTCCCCAAGGGAAGTGGTGGAAGCCAGACATTTTAGACTAGACTGGGAAAAAAGCATCAGGACAGGGACATGTTAGGAACCTGCTACATTGGCAGGAAGATGGACCAGCAGGCCTGGGTGCTCACCTCAGCCAGGATGCTCAGGGCCACATCCACCAGCTCCGCTTCATTCATACAATAGACAGTCACAGTCCTGGACAGGCCAAGAGATTAGAAGAGAAAATAAAATCAGGAATTAGCTGGGGAACACTGTCACAGGCAGAAATGAGAATGCTTCCCCCCACAGACACACAATCAGCAGAGGAATGTATTCATGGGAGAATACTGCATCACGGCGCAATGCAGAACTTGTGCGGAAATTAATGGGTTTTGTGCAGAATTTCCTTCCTTCCCTTCTACACTGAAATGGGCTGCATATCTGATGGCCACAACCAGCACTGAAGAGGGCAGAGCCTAGCTTGTAAATAAAAGACATTACAGAGGGGGGGGGGTTCCTGCAGCTGTAGTTCCCAGCATGTCCTGAAGGAAGGAGGCAGCATGCAGAAAATGTCATACAAGCCCAGAACCCAGAAAGAGGCTGTTTCTTTGGGTGCTTAGGCATTGTGGGGAAGGGGATGTGTGTGTCCGGGCTGGGTGGTACTCACAGCTGGGCTCTGGGGGAGTGACTATGGGCTCTGGGGAGAGAAGGCAGAGAGTCAGAAACTGGGTTGTTGTAGGGGGTTCCTTAACTCCTTACTCCTGGAGGAATTTGTGTGTATCTTTAATGATATAGACATGGGTATTGTGAAATAAATTACCAAAATAATTGAAACTGGCATGCTTGTGTAGTGCTAGTTTAACAAATAAAAATACAGACTATTGTAGAACTTTAAAAGATTGTGTGCAGAATTTTTAATGTGTTAAATTCCCCCAAGAGCAGGGCATGCTTTTGTTTCTGGAAAGTCCCTGTTTTTCAATAACAGGAAGTCAGAAGCTGGAGTCTGACTGTCTTCCCACACCACTATTACTTTCGTGGAAGTCAGATGATTTGGGCGGAGTTATGTACATCAGCTTAGAGCAGAAATCAGAACCTTTTTGGAACATTCCTGTGTATTTCCATAAGCATCGCAGTCCCTTACGATACAAAGTACAACAGTTAGCCCTATCGCCTTTTTAAGGGATCTCAAAGCATTGCACAGGCTGGGGGACCACAGCTCAGGGACAAATGCAGCAGAAGGGATCAAGCACAAGAGGGAGCATAGGGAGGGAAGTGAAGAATAGCATAGCTCTGAGAGAGAGTAAATACCCAAGGGATTTGACCACGATGAGCACATTAAGCTCTAAACAAACAGCTCTGTGTTTTCCTTCTCTCCTGAGCAAGCAGCTCCACCAGCATAGCACTCTCTGCAGCTCTGACCCAGGGAAGAACACCCTGGCTGAGCCTCCAACCCCACTTTCAGGTGATACTCTTGCTTCTCCTTGGGGGTTTCCTAGCCAAGTATTGACCAGACCCCACAGTGCTTTGCACACAGAAGCCAATGCGATTGCAGCCCCAGTTAGCCCGGTTGCACAATGTGCTTACCTTGCCATGGCTGTCTTCTTCACTCTCTTGGGTCTTACTGCTGACACAGTCTCTCTTGGCTCCACGTCCCTCGCTACCATCCATGGCGGAAGGACCCTCTTTTTTGTTTTGCACACGGCGGTTTCCATCACTTTGCATTTAAAAAAGGAACTGGCACACAGTCAAGGCTCAGCCGTTTATACGGTTCAGAATTCACCACTGTGCATGACTGTCTGGTGCTGTCCTATGCATCCCCCTTCCCAAAAAGAAGCTTTCATTAATCCACAGCTAATGCATCAGGGGATGTGCTACAAATCCCCATTAACATCTTAAAGGAACACTGCCAAAAATCTTACTATATGTTTTAGAAATGTGTGTCTGTCTGTCCACAAGTCCGTTTGTTCAAGAACTGCTCCAAAGCGGTAAATGCTAGGATCACATTTAGTATGCAGCTTCCCCTTATCAAAACTTAAACATTAAAGCCAGCTTTGGGCTTGGTTGGGCCACATTTAGTATGCAGCTTCCCCTTATCATAACTTAAACCTTAAAGCCAGCTTTGGGTTTGGTTGGGCCGGGATAATGAGATATGCCTGGAATCTGATTGTTTTTCATAAAACAGAAAGGGAAGGGTCTGGCAGGAGGGAGTTATACTATAGAACAGTGTTTCCCAGTTTTAGCCACGGGACCCTTTAAAAAGAAAATGCTGGGGGAAACTGGTCGACCCTCCCCTCCCCCCCAAAAACATGGAAAAACAAAAAACCCTTGAAAATGGGTTACACCGGGCCCCTAAGACCTGCTCGGGGGGTGGGAGGGATTGATCGAGTTCTTGCGGAACCCTTACTTTCACTTTGCGGAACCCTGGGGTTCTGCAGAGCACTATTTGGGAAACACTGCTATAGAATGACCACAGGGGGACAAGCAAGGGGCCAGAGATGAGGACTTGGGCAGCTATAACCCCAGTAAGGGGCAGGGGTGGAGAAATGTAAAGCTATCTACTATACATTTCAGACAGTTTGAGTGTCTCTTCCTGTATCTTTCTGTCCCCTAGCTGGGGACATTCACCCTTCACCCAGCATTGGCTGCTGCAGTAGCCATGGACAGGCACTTCTCACCTGGCCCCACCAGAGCAGGAACTGGCTCCTGCTCCCTGCTCCTGATTTCTGTCTTGTCGCTGGTTCTGTAAGCAGGCCCAGGATTCCTTGTTCTATGGTCATGGGGCCTGGAAATGCGGGACAGAAGAGCAGTGGGCTCTGAGGCTATGTCTGGCAGCTCTTGCGCAAGAATCCGCAGAGCGTCCACACGGCCCGCCCGCTCTTGCGCAAGGAAATTTACAGTACGGCGTGGTAAGAGGGGGCTTCTTGTGCAAGAGCTACACTTTTAACAAGTTTAAGCCCTCTTGCGCAAGAGGGCAGTGTGGACGCTCGGCCAGGGTTTCTTGTGCAAGAAAGCCCTATGGCTAAAATGGCCATCAGAGCTTTCTTGCACAAGAGAGCGTCCACACTGCCATGGATGCTCTTGCACAAAAGCACAGCTGGCACATGGCAGTGTGGATGTTTTCTTGAGCAAGACTTCTTGCGCAAGAAGCCGCTAGTGTAGACATAGCCTGAGAGTTTCCTTCCACCTTCTCAGACCCTTATTCTGCTGCTACTGCCTCAGCAGTGGGGTGCTACCGCTTAGTCC